GCGCTTCGACGACCCCGTGTGCTTTTCCTGCATAAACTTGGCCGTCTTGGACTGGAACCGGGTCACAAACTGCTGCAGCACGAGGGTCAAATGCGGCAACAGCATCTGGCGCGGCGCGTCCGACGCCTCGTCCGCGCTGAGGAGACCGCCGAGGAACTTGAGGAGCGTCTCGAGCGTATCTGCGCTGACGCCCATGTCGTACGCCGTCACGTCGTCGCTGTCGAGGCCCGTCGAGAGACATGTAATGACCGTGCGGATGAGGTCCGCCGGAAGCGCGTGGACCGTGTGGGCACTCTGCGCGATGGACGTGAGCCACTCGAGGAGCGCGGACGGCTTCTTCGCACCGCGCATCGCCGCCGGCAAGTGCGCGATCGACGAGTCGCAGAGCGCGAAGAGCGACGTGAAGCAGTCGTTGAGGTCGTACACGCCGTCAAACTGCTCCACGACCTCGCCAAGTCGCCGGAAGACAAGCATGCGCGTCTGGCGCTTGAGGCCCTCGTTCGTCGTCGGCGCTTCGTCCTCGTCGTTGTCCTCCATCGGCTTGTCGGCCATCTCGACATCCTCGTCGTCGTCGTCGTCCTTTTCAATCGTCGACGCCGTCGTCGTTGACGCCTTGGCGATCTGCCCGAGGTCGCCCGTCGAGAGGATCGCTGTCAGCACCGAGAGGATCTGCGGCAGGAACGCCGTGACCTTCATACCGAGGTGCGCAATGACGTCCTCGAGCAGCTTCAAGAAGCCCACTTGCTTGGACGCCGAGACTTCGGGCATGACGGCCAGCACATCGCGCACGCGGTCCTCAAACGGGATCACGTCCAAGGTCACGGGCACGCGGAACGCGCGAAGAATGAGCCCGAGAAAGTACGCCAGCTCGTCGGTTTCCAGCGCCACCAAGAACGAGAGTACGGTCGTGCGCCGGGTGGCGAGCGAGTCTTTCGAGCTCCGGGAGCCCTTGCGCGAGACAAACTTGGCGTAGAGCAGGCGCAAAAGCACGGGGAAGAACGGACCCCGGTGCTCCGCGAGGACGACGCCGGACGCCTTGTCGACGCTGAAATTCGTGAGCGCCTCGCGGAACGTCGTGCTGTTGGTGAGCTGCGTGAGCTGCGACTTGTACGGCATCAAGTACGCCGGCTTGTACGCGTAAATGCACTCGAGCGCGAGCGCCGAGACATGATCGTCCGACTTGATGAGCAGCGCGTAGAAGAAGTCCCAGAGGAGCGACTGGCCGTACACGCCGCTAAAGTTGGTGAAGCGCTTGAAGAGGTGGAGGAAGCTAATGAGCTTTTCACGCACGCCCTTGGTCGTCAGCTGCGCATGCACGATCGGCGACGAGAGCGAGGTGAGCGATGCCGAGAGAAGGCCGTCTTCGCTGACGTACTTGGGGTTGGCCGCGCGCGACGCCGCCGCCGACGTGATGACCTCGGAGAGCGCCGTCGGGGTCACGTGCTCGGCGTCATCCGTGTAAATGGCGTAGTACTGATCGCGCAAGAAGGCGCAGAAGATCGGCACGACCACCTTGGACTTTTGCTCGACCAAGTTCGGGAAGCCCTCGAGCGTCTTCCACACGAGGCCGTGCTGCGTCGGCACGTCCGTCACGGCTTGGTTGACGCCCTCTTCGACCGACACGTCGTCGGCCAAGCCTTCCAGCAGCGAGTTTGCCTCGTCGCTCTCGATACTCGCCACACTCTGGCTCGATGTGCGCGACGAAATGTAAAACAGCTCCGCACAGAGCGTCGACCAGACAGCCTCGAAGTGCAATGGCACGCAGGCTTGGATGACGATGGCGACGTGCGGCCAAATGGTCGAGAACTTGACGTGGTTGAGACCGAGCATGTGCGCCGTGATGAGCTTGACGTAGATCTGCGGCGTCTGCGGCGCGCGCGCAATGACCTTGAGCCGCTCGAGCATGCGAATGATCTCGCGCTCCGTCTCGACCGTAGGCTTGGAGCAGACGACTTCGAGCTGGAGGCAGAGCGAGACCACCTCGCACTCGCCTTGGAGCGAGTTCTCGCTCGTGTTCTCGTACACTAGAGCCGGGTGCAGGCCGAAAAGCTCGATGGTCTCGCGGCGCAGCGCCTGGATCGGCGACCGGAGGTTGTGCTGCAGCTTGGCAAAGAGCAACGGAAACGAGAGCGCGGGCGCCGTGGACAAATCCATCTTTTTGAGCAGCGCACGCAGCGCCTGGAGCATGAACGGCGACGCCGCGTACGCCTCCAAGTACGTGACCATTTGCGCCGACGTCGGCACGACGCTCGGCAAGTGGGCCTGAACGAGGAGGCACTTGGCATGCAAGAGCGTGAGGACGACGCGGGCCGTGTGCGAGCCGGCGCCACTCGCCAGCGCGGCGGCCAGCGCCGCGCGGAGGCGCTCCGTCATCGCTGCGGCCTCGGCCTCGGGCACGACGAGCTGGCGAAGGCACTCGAGCGCCATGCGGAGCCGCGATGCGTGCGCGAGAAACGTATCGTGGTCCTCGACGCTCCATTTCGTGTCAAAGAGATCGCTGGCCATTTCCAGAAAGCGCTGCGTCGCATCGGCCGGCACAAAGCGCAGCTTGGCGAGGTCGACGGTCACAACGTCGCCGCGGATGAGCACCATGCGGCCCGACGGGATCTCGCCCGCGTGGCGCACCAAGAACGAGAGCACGTCACCGAGGAAGAGGAGGTGCTCGCTCAGCGACGCATCGATCAAGCCGAACGCAAAGGTCGTCAAATGGGGCGCGAGGTACTCGACGACCGCCGTGACCGGCATCGCCTGCAGCATCTTGTGCGTAAAGTCGCGCAGGTGACGCAGCAGCGTCGGCGACGACGGATGCACGCAGTAGACCGACTTGAGCAGCGGGTAGAAGCGCTCGTGCAGCGACCGCACGCATGTGTTGAGGAGGTTGAGCGTCGACGCGTGGAGCTCCGGCGCCATCTCGATCGAGTACGTCGACGCGTCGAGGAGACTCGATGCGGTTTGATACAAGACCTTTTTGTGCCCGAGGCCGACGAGGTCCCCTTGCTTGTAGGCCACCCAGAGGGCGACGAGGTCGGCTTGTCGGCTCAGGTAGAGCGCTGAGGCCGCCGACGGGCGTTCCTTGTGCGCTTGGATCGCGTGCTGCGTCGCGTTGTGGAGAGCCGTCCAGACCACGTCGGTGTGGCTCACAGACGTGTGCTTGCGCATGAGGTCGTTGGTGCGGCGGACGACATCAAATATCGTAGCGAGCTGCTCGTTTGTGAACACGTCGGTCTCGGACGGCGCAAACGACGTCAAGAGAAGACGCAGGAGCTCCGGCGTGCGCGAGTGGAACTGCTCCTGGACGTTCTTCATGATGGCAAAGCAGAGCCGCGCGGCGCCGTCGAGCACATGCTGATGGTCGTCCGAGTCGCCGCGGACGAGCGCGAGAAAAAAGTTGTGAATGTAGTCGCTAAAGTCCTTGCCTGCCTTGACCTTGCGGAGGAGGACGCAAAAGACGCTGGCCGCAAACTCCCGCACATAGTCCTTCGAGTGGCCAAGGAGGAGGCCGTAGTACTTGTGCACAGCGTGCATGTCGGCGAGGAGGTTGGGCTGCAGGTGCTTGAACAGCATTGCCAGCGTCTTGAAGACTTCGGTCGTGAGCTCCGGGTTGATTGGCGTGATGATCGCCAAGATGGACGGGAAGAGCTGCGGAAAGTACGGGTAAAACTCCTTGCCGAGGTCCCTAAAATTTGTGTGAGGAAATGCGCAGGGAGATATGAGGTCGAAAGTACTTGGCGAGCGCCACGAGCAGCTTGAGCACGGGCGTCATGACATCCGGGTCCTCGGGAAACTCGACCAGCTGCGTCTCGAGCGTCGTGACCACGGTCTTGAGGTGGTGCAACAGCTGCGGCGTCGAGTTGGTAATACGGCGCACCTGGCGGAAGACTTGCTGGAAGCGCTCGTTGGTGTAGAGCTCGCCGAGGAGCACGAGCTCTTCGTGGAACGGCGCAGTGGACGCGTTAGCCTGGAGCACGTAGGCCGAGTGCGTCTGTGTCTTGGCGTGCAGCTGCAGCTCATTCTGCAGGCCGACGACGCGCTCCTTGACCTTCTGGAAGCGGAAGCGCTTGGAGCTGCCCGTTGCCGCGCTGTCGTTGAGCCCCTTGGTCATCCGCGATTTTTCTGCTGAAGTTGCTCTTCACAAAGATAGCTCCACTCATTTTGACTGGTGGAGTACTCGAGCGATCCGATTGGCTACGAGAATCCGGATAATCGAGACACCCGGATACCGACATTTGCGGAAAACACGCAACTCGCAAGAGCGTCCGCTGCGCGCGTCGACGACGTGCTGCGCTAGTATGGAGACGGAACTCGTGCATACGTCGGCTGCAACGGCAATGGAGCAAAACTCTCTTGGCGCTCGCTGGCATATCTGCTCCTGGAGGGAGCGGATCAAGCGTCCCATCAATGCCACCAGATTGCAAGATGCGTCACAACGTCCCGGTCCACTGCACGCGCGTGTCGTGTCGACGAAGAGGGACAGAAGGGACGTATTGGCATTTGCTTGGCGCTGGATGGCACCGATGGACATCGACTTGATCGCATTGGCAGGTTGTTTCTCGGTCGTTTGGATCACCGTTCAGAGAGGTCGCTTTGCTCACTACAATCCAGCCGTGTACGACGCTACGGCAAGGAATGCAATGTGCAGCACTACAGAATGCTGCATGTATTACACTGCAATCGTACATCTCCACTGCACTGCACAGGTCGAAATCAGTGGGTCGAAATCACGCTCGGGTATGTGGTGCCACATCTCCTTTCCAAGAAGAGCGAACTCAGAGCCGATGATGGTTCACGGAACGCGGGCTGTGAAAGGGAATAAAGATTGTTTTATTCCCTTGCTGCCTCCGAGAAATGCCCAACCGCATCTCGTACGCACCGTACTCGAGTCTACGATCTGCCGAGAGGGTTGCGTGATTTCGATCTTCCAACCGATTGGCTGGACGCCCATTATCCGGATTCCGTATCCGGTGTAGATCGTAGATCGTTGTTTGGCTGGGCAGAGTTTTCGAAGCACGCCGATCGATCGACCATGAACGCGATGAACAACCTCCCGGCGTACCAGCAGCAAGAGCTGATGAAGCACTTTGAAGAGAAGCAGCTTGAGGAGAGCTTGGCCATGTACAACCGCGTCGTCGCCACGTGCTTTAACGAGTGCGTCCAGTCGTTCCGCTCCAAGAAGCTCGACGACAAGGAAGAGGGCTGCATCAACAAGTGCACGGAAAAGTTCGTCAAGCACACGCAGCGGGTCGCGACGCGCTTCCAGGAGGCGCAGGCCGCGGCCATGGAAGGCCAATAAGTAGACTAATGCAGACCCGCCCTGCACCGCCTTTCCCACTTTGCACTTTGCCGTTACAACGCAAATCTCGTAATTCGTCGAGCAGAAGAAGACGCATGCGACGAGGACCACTCGCGCTCCTTGCCGCCATCGTCGCCCTCGCGCAGGGCGACAACATGACCTTGTCGACGCCCAAGCTCGTACTGAATAATGTACCTTTTGCGTGTACCCTGAGCTTGCCAGCGCTATCGCCCCACGGTACGAAGATGTCGCGCGATGACGGAGGCCGCGACGAGGTGGTAGGCGACGCTTGGCCAGCGACTCTCTTCGTCGTCGTCCAGGTCAAAACCCGTCATCTTGGGGCGTTTGCAGTGTCGACAATGTTCAGAAGCCACACACTGGGCAACCTCACGGTAGCATCGTCGGGGCTTCACACGCTGTACCTTGAGGTGCCCAGTCCTTGTCCGTGGTCGACTTTGCTAAGCCACCTAGGTCGTCGATGGAAACGGGACGTCCATGGGCGCGGCGGTCACCACGGTGCCCAGCGTACCGGGGTTTCTGTCGCTGCTGCCGCCGCTGCTCACGGTCGTCGTCGCGGTGCTCTGCAAGCAGGTGCTACTTGCGTTCGTGCTTGGTGTCTGGCTCGGCTGCGTCTTTCTACATGCTTTCAACCCGCTCGTGGCGCTCCTTCGCGTCTTTGACACGTACTTGAGTCACGTATATACACTACGTTCTAAGCGTTCTCGTCGCGAAGATCTTATGCGTAGGCCTTGGACTATCGGAACGGACACGCGCAGGTCGTGACGTTTTGCTTTCTCTTGGGCGGGCTCATTGGCATTGTGCAAAAGGGCGGCGGCGCCCACGGCCTCGCGTCGCTCGTCGCGTCCCTCCCAGCGACGCGTGGCCAAGCTCTGGTCGCGATCTTAACGCTGACGGGGCTCGTCTTCTTTGACGACCATGCCGCGATTCTGATTGTCGGCACGACGTTCTCGCGCCCGGCGCAGGACGTGGGCGTGAGCAAAGCCAAACTGGCGTTGCTCATCCATGGCGTCTCGGCGTGTTGGGTGAGTCTCGTGCCGATCTCGTCCTGGGTCGGCGTACAAGTGGGGTATCTCCAAGGCGAGCCGTCGCTCTCGGGCGACGCGTTTGGCTGGTTCCTCGCGTCGTGGCCGCACCGGTACTTTCCGTTGCTCTGGCTGTGCTTCCTCGGCCTCACAGTCGCCACGGGCCGGGACTTTGGCCCCATGCTACAGCACGAGCGCGCGGCGCAGCGGCGGAAGAGCCGCCACAGCCTCTCGACCGACTCGGAGACGTTTTCGCCCCTCGCCATGGGACTCGCGAGCCCGAGCGTGCTCCCAGCGTCGGCGCTCGCTCCGACAATTCCAGTTTCTTCCCAGCGCTGGTACAACGCGGTGCTTCCGTTTGCCGCCGTCGGGATCGGGACGTGCCTCGGACTCTACTGGGATGGCAGCGCCCACGGGGTAGTATTGGTGCTACAAGCGGTGACGATTTCTCACGACGACGTAGGACACGTCGTGGCGCACGGTATTCGCAAGCGCCAACTCGTTCAACGCGCTCATCGCTGGCGCACTCGCGGGCTGCATCGTCGCGGCGGTGCTCTTAATCAGGCAGCAGCTCTTGACGCTGCGGGGCATCCTGACTGCGTGGCTCGCCGGCGTCGCCGAGAACACGCTTTCGCCCGTGCTCGTGCTCCTCCTCGCGTGGGCGCTCGGCCACGTCCTGCTCGACCTCCAAGCTGCCGCATACTTGGCGCCTGCGCTCGGATCGACGCTACCGCCCCGCCTTTTGCCCAGCGTGGTGACGGTATTGAGCTTTGGCCTCTCGGTCGCAACCGGGTCTGCGTTTGGTGCCATGGGCATTCTCTTCCCGCTCGCACTGCCTCTCGCCGCGACCTTGTGTACGTCCCACTCCATGTCGCGCGGGATTGTATTGAGACGGCCATAGCGCCGGGCGATACCGACCTCTTGACGCAATGCGTCGGCGCGATCGTTGGCAGCAGCGTCTTTGGCAATGTGCTGAGCCCGATAGCCGACGACACGCTTCTCACGTGCATGGCGACGGGCCTCAACGTGCACACGCACGTGCGCACGACGCTTCCATACGCCGCTATCGTCGGCAGCGTGAGCCTCTTTCTAGGCGCGCTGCCCGTGGGGTATGGCGTGTATGGGCCAACAGAGGCCCTCGGCCTTTCTGTGAGCGCGTGTTTCTGCCTCCTCATCCTGCTTGGCCGACCGGTGGTCGACACCCGTTGCATCGTCACCGACGCGACACCGCTGCTCGCCTCCTCGTAGTGTACGGCGAAGTTGAATTGGTGTTAAATAATGAATGATGACGACGACGGCGCTTAGCTCTCGACCACCATCTCGAGGACGACGTACATGATCGCCGCGTTGGGAACGGTCTTCATGAGGTGCGCCGGCATGCCGCCGTAGAGGCCACGCGTGCCCTCGGCCTTGTAGATGGTCGCGATGCTCTGAAACATGCCGCGGTACTTGGCCAGCGACCCGTCCGTCGGCGTGCGCTGGTCTCGCATGCGCGTCCGGACGACCTCGTGCGGGTACGTCGCGGCCGCGGCCGTGAGTTTGCAGAGTCCGGCGAGGAAGAAGAGCTGGAGCTTGGACGGTTCGTCGAGGCGACTCTTGAGCTCTTCATAGAGCGCGAGCTGGATTGCACCTTCCGAGACGCCCCAGTACGACGCCGAGAGGCCCTTGAAGAAGGCGCGGGCGCCCTCTTCCTTGTACATGCTATACGCGACTTCGTGCATCGAGTAAAACTTGGAGGTGGGCTTGACCGGCGAGAGCGCAAACGACGCGCCGCTGCCGTTGAGGTTCAAGCGCAGCATCTTGCCGCCCGTCACGGGCAGCGACTGCGAGACGTTCTTCATGTGCACGTCGACGCTGGCCTGGGCGACGTGTGTCGGCATGAGCTGCATGCGCGTCTTGACGACAAAGATCGGGCTCAGCACGGACGCCGTCATGCACCCGGCAGCGGCGGCCGAGCCAAAGTTGGTTGCCGTGCCCGAGAAGCCGTGGTCGTTGCAGAGACCCTTGAACTTGGCGTAGCAGCCAAAGTAGGCGGCGCGCGCGGGAATGACGCCGAGGAGATTGGGCGTGATGCCGCGCCAGAGGCCAAAGACGCTTTCTACAGGACAAGATATGAGTACGGGCAACGCGACTTGGCGACTCGGTCGTCGTACCGTTGCGCAGAATCGTGCGCAGGACGTTGATGGTCGAGAGGTTCTGATTGCAGGCACGCGCCATGTCGCTCCTACAGCGTGGCGTCAGCGACTGCAATGCGTCGGGTCGTCGTCTACCGGCCGAGCTTGGTTTGGAGACGCGTCTTGATGACCTCGAGCGGCGACGTGATGATGGCGGCTGTCATGCCACCGACAGCGCCGCCAATAAAGTGGCGGTACTTGGGGTCGCATAGCACCTGCATGAGCTCGGACTCGTCCGAGAGCGAGGAAGCAAACGTCGTCGAACTCGAAGCCATGATGCTCGCGATGAAGATTGAAGATTGTTTCTCGGAAGTTCTCCACGCGCCTTCATGTCGCAGACCAATGGGCTGGTGGACCACCAGTCGTGGCCGTTTCATTTTGGCCAATCAGCGATCCGAACATCTGCTTCGAGTCGGTGATTCGCTCGCCCATCCTTGCTCCGCATTGGCAGAAAAGAGCCAATCATATCGCTGCGGTATCAACGGCAAAGTGCAAGCACACCGATTGCACACGCTATTTCACACTTTTTTCACACGACACACACAACGCGCTCGTCTAGCCGAGTTCTGCTGCCGGTACGACCATCCGAACCAGCTCAAGCACTCACTATGGCGCTCAAGCCATTCCACCTTCCGGCGTAGCGTCGTGACGAGTGCGACACCAAGCGTTTGCACGCGCGAGGACCTTGCCGTTGAACGCAACAGGCACGGCCTACTGTATGTCCTGCAGGCCTATGTCCATTGAAATTCAAAGTCTCGGATGCTTAGCCGTGATGCTCTGAGGCAACGCTTGCTTGCTTGCTCGTCGATCGGCGTTGCCGAGACTACTACCATAGTTTGATGGTAGGCCTTTCTGAAGCGATCCTTCGAGATCGCAGTGTGTTTCTCACTTTTTTCACATCATCCATATGGTGTCGAGTGGTGAAAAACACACGCGTCCTTTCGCCAAAGATCGCAGAATCCAATGTCGCTGGACGCGGTCGCCAAGCATGCGTTCGCGTACGAAGGCGGCGACGTTGTCCTCGCCGACGAGCACACGGTTGTGACGCGCTGCGGCAACCTCCTCAAGTTCTCGTCCGTCGTGAGCAACTCGCAGCACTTTTTACCGCGGGCCAAGGCCTCGCGCATCGTGGCCTTTGACGTCAACCCCAAGACAGCCTCGATCGCGCTCGCCGCCTGCGAAGAGAACGCGAGCATCGACATCTACGCGCTGCCCGACAAGGTACCTTGCGCTTCTGCAAAGGCGTGCGTGTGACCAAGGAAGCGTAGCGCTGGAAAGGCCGGCTGCCCAACGACACGGCGGCGTTCGAGTACCACTTGCTCAAGTTTTCGCGCTGCGGCTCGCGCCTCTTGTCGCTTGGAACCGACCACGGCAACCAGGTAGCGCGATGGTACCAACGACAGGCTATAGCTGCACACGCGTAGCTGCGGGTTTGGGACCTGGACCGCTTTGATGCAATCGACGGTTGCCTCGCGACGCTGCCGCATCGGTACTCGTTTGCGTCCTTCAACCCGCTCAATCCCGACCAGTTTGTCCTCGGCGGCGATCGTGGCATCGTCTTTTGGCGCGTCTGCAAGGTCCAAACAACCTTTTGCCTCAGCCGCATGGACGCCGCCGTAACCAGCTCCGGCGAGTACGCCGGCAGCGCCGTCTCGTCCGAGGAGGCGGCCGAGAAGCGCCGTGAATACACCTGCCACTGCTGGAGCAAGGACGGCAAGCTCTTTGCCGCCAACCGTATGGGCGAGCTCGTCAAGCTCGACCCGACGCGCGGCGAGATCCTCGCGGTCGTCGTCCTATCGCGCACCGCCGTGCTCGCGTCGCTCGTGCTCACGGCCGAGTGCCTCGTCGCTGGCTTCTCGGACGGATCGGTGCGCTGGCTCCACGACCACGACTACTCCGTCTTGCAAACGGTACGTCTTCCTACGCATATATATCGTGGCCGCATGACATGAGCACCCGCACTTCCGGCCAACGAGCGGCTCGTCGGCCTCGGGCTCTCGCCCAGCCACGCGCGCATCGTGCTCGGAAGCTCGGCCGGCGGCCTCTACGAGCTCACAGCGCTTGTCGACGTTGACGAAGATGAGAAATCGCCGGCCGCCAACGCCGCGTCGCTGCTCAACAAGCTCGGTGGCTACCACACGGGCGCCGTCCTGAGCATGGCGCTGCTCATTCCCGCGGGCGGTACGACCAACGATGCGGTCGTTGTCTCGGGCGGCGTCTCGGGTGCGCTCTACTTCTGGACCGTCCAGAGCTGCAAGGGCATTGCCGTCTCGTCGCTCACCGATCTCTTCGAGTCGGCGCCAAAGACCATGATCACCGCGGTCGCGGCGCGGTACCTCGACCCGATCGTCGTCGTTGGTGACGCGACCGGCCACGTGCGCATTCTAAGTGTTGCCAAGGTCGCGGCGGCGTCGATTGATGTGGCGCCGATTCACTGCGCGCGCGTGTGCACAACGGCAATCGATATGATCGAGATCCACCCGGCGTCTGCCCTCGCCCTCCTCGCATCCTCGAGCAGCCACGTGGTGTACATCATGTCTCTGGACCCGGAGCGTCGTTTTCGTATCCTCGGATTCGCGCAGGGCCCGAGTCCAAGCGCGCGCCTCTCGATGGTCAAATGGGTGCCCACGTCGAGCCTCGACACGTCGGCCTTTGTCGCGTCCCTCGGCCACGAGACGTTCTACTGCGCACTCACCAACTTGGACGAGCGCATCGCGATCGAGTTCCACTTGATGCTCCTTGGCGCGTTCCAGCCGTCGACGGTCGCCCAGCGAGGCGTCTTTCTCAGCCCTTCCCATGCGCTCAAGCTATTGACGTACGTCAACTTCAACGCCAAGCACGTGAGCGTGCTCCGCATCAACGACGCGCCAAAGACGATCAAGTCGGTCGAAGCGAAGCTGCTGCATGCGGACGCCCACGCCAAGCCGTTGACGGCGATCGCCAAGAGTCCGTTTGCGTCTCGGGACGGCGCCGAGATCTTTGCGACGGGTGCGGCCGACGGCACGCTCTCGCTCTGGCTGCTCCAGCCCACGACCGTCGGGCTAACGCTCAACGATACCGTGTGGCACTTCGCCAAGCAAAAGAGTCTCGTGCTGCACGCTGGTGCGATCACGTCGATCGTGTTTTCGCACGCAGAGGATGCCACGTATGTGTACACTTCTGGCGTCGACGGCGCCGTCTTCTGCGTCGAACTCAAGCCCGAGCACGGCTTGGGCCTTCTCAAAAGCGTCTCGGAAGGCGCGTCACCGCTCTACGTCAACCTCGGGAGGCGCTCCAACGAGCCGGAGAAGAAGGCACCGCGCTGGCACCTCACCAACGACGGACGACCTTTCCTCGACACGTACGCCGACGAGCAAGACAGCCTCGCCCGCGCGAAATTCGATGCGATCAAAGACAAGATCCGCGGGCCGTTGAGCGCCCTCCAGCTCAAGCTGCAGACGATGCTGGCGCACAACGCCGAGCTGCCCGAGATGGAAGCACTGGCGCGCGACGAGTTTGTCATCAATAGGGACCTGGAGGCGTCGCTCTTGGCGCAGAACGCGGCGCGGGCCACGGACGTCCGGTCGCACATTGGCCGGCAAATCGCCGAAATGAACATTGTGCGCGAGCGCATGAAGGCCGAGTTCTGGGACACGGGCGACACCAAGGGCGTCGTGCTCAAAGGCCTCAACAACTCAGAACTGATCGTGTACAACCTCCCGACGCGCAAGCTCGGAGCGGCCGAGAAGCGGCGCGAAGCCGCGGTGCAGCGCCTCCGGCAGCTCGAGTACCAATTGGCGCGGCTCGAGCCGAGTGAGTCGGTGCGGACGGCGCGCCGGCAGACGTCGGCCGGGTACCACCACGCCGACTTGATTCCGCCAGCAATCACATGGATGGTGAACGCCGGCTTGCTGCACCCGACGCTCGGGAAGCGCGAGGCGCCGCCGCCAAAGCCCGAAGAGTTCGACCTGAGTACGCCGGTGCGGCTCGTGGATTTGATCTACCACCCGGCCATGATCCGGACGCGCAAGCAGCAGCGCACGCAGATCGCATTGCTCCTAGCGTACGAGCGACAGCTCCTTGGCGAGTACAACAAGGACTTTGACGAGCTCGCGCGCCTCAAGGAATCGAAGATGGACGAGATCGAAGCCAAGAATGCTCGGATCCGCGAGATTGGCGCCGAACTCCAAGTGCATGAATCGCCTGCCGTCTACTCGTGGAGTGCGGACGAAGTCGCCGACTCGGTGCTCTCGCTTCGCCCTGGCGAAATGACCAAGACACCGTACGAGACGGACGAGAAGCGCATGGCGCGGGAAGCTGCCGAAGCCGCCGCACGCGCGCTTGAAGCACGCAACCAAAAGACGATGTCGCTGGCCGCGCGCTCCGCGACATGATGAACGGCACGCTCGAGGTCAAGAAGGAACTGGTCCAGGGTTCGAGCCTCGTGCGCGAGCCATGGATGGACGAGACGCCGGCCGACGAACTCTCGCCCGAGCAAAAGCTCAAGCTGCAAGCGTACGACGCCGAGGCCGCGCGCATCGCCGACGAGAAGGAAAAGTACAAAAAGTCGCTCGACCTCGAACTCAAGAAACTCAAAGCCGACATTGCCGACATCTGCCGCGGCTTTGACGAGAAGCTCAAGACGCTCCAGGACATGTACCTCGCGACGCGACTCAGTGTTCTCACGCAGCAGATGTACATGCTGCGGCTCGGCGACGTCCTCCTGAGCCACGAGCATATCTGCCACGACCTCGCGAGTCTCTCGTCCGAGATTGCGTCGATCGAAACCGAGATTGCTTCGCTCCATGTCGACCACGCGCAGTTCGAGGCGCGCCTCGAGAGCTGCAAGGACGAGTGGCACAAGTCGATGGACGACGACAAGGCGCTCGAGAGGGCGTTTCCGCGCGAGATCGAAGAGGCTGCGGGCGCCCCGCTCGAGCACGACGTGTTGCGGTCGCTCACCGAGCTCTACCGCAAGCGCCGGTCCGTCGACGACGCGACAAGCGACAGCAGCAAGAA